ACAAACTTACAGACTAATGTATATCCGACTTGAAATCATTATACTGCACCGACGGTTTAGTTTACAGAATTTTAGGTCCGTCTGCTTCCTTTTTAGCTCATTTTCTCATTTATGGAAAAAATGAGCTATTGTACTCGTCATGTCCGTCCGTCTGTCCGTGACTTCACGTTTTCGTCGACAAGTAAATGCGCTCTCTGTCACTCACTGCAGTGAGTACCGAGTTATTTTTTGAAAAACTCTCGCCAAGTAGTCTTGTTTTGAGGCACTCCTGTACCCGGATCTACTCGCTGTCTCCAAAGCCTTAAGTGAATTGCACTCAAATGAATATTGCTCAATATTTAATTCCAGTTTACGAACCCATAAGATGTGTTATTTAAGCATTTCATTATCCAGGAGAAAAAAATAAATTTCATTATTGAATAAGGCTACATTAAAAATTATTTTTTATTCTTTAAAACGAGATTTCTAATGTTTTTTAATTTTTCCGCGTTTCATGTCATTACCATAACGCCGCAATCAGGTTTTTACTTTGGTTCCGTTACATTACTTGTATCATTGTTATTTTCTCATTTGTTCAAATAGTCATACCGGTACCTCGGCATTAATTTCAATTATTGTTGTTTCCTTTTGCCTGAATTTTATAGCATGAGCCTTGTGACACGCATGCACAGTTTTATATATGCAAAATATGGTTTATATCGAAATCTCAAGATCTTTCTCGACTGCTTCGAAACAATTGTCTGCGGTAAATATATGACACACTTTTGTGAATGTGATGCAATAACAAATCTTGTTGTAAATATTTTCGAGCACGTTGAACACGAAGTACGTGGACATAAATTCACTTGATGTAGAGAGAAAGCGTGAATTTTGGGTGGACATTATTCGATATCAGGATTTTCTTAAGTAATGTTACTTTTCTTTCTCTTGTTTGTGCGTTGGCAGTTTTTTTTGCAATTAATGAGCGAGCAAAATGTATGATAACCGTAAAGTTAGGCCCGTATTTATGTGGGACGAAATAAATTGAAATAAAACTAAATAAATATAAAATAATTTAACTTAATTAAATTTTCCTGCGTAACGCTATGGCAATGGGACAGGACGGCGATTGTTGAACTGATTCCAACGGTATCATCACTTCAGCGAAAAAATCTCTGAGAATCTTAATGACATTGCAGAACAAAGGAATTTTCTGGCAGAATTCAATATTTTGCCGTCTCAACGCTGTTTTGCAATATGTGAAGCGCAAAACTTGTCACTTAATTTGATGTACTTTTTCTAAATCAGGTTAAGGCTATAAAATCTGAAATTTGTTGCCTAAATTGAAGTCAAAAGACATTTATAGGAAACTAATATGTTATTAAGGCGTTACTAAGACTAGAAAATTTATTATTCAATTCTGGAATCTTATAAATAATCTCGTCATTCCCATTATCCTTAATCTAGATTATGAAAAAGCCTACGTAATTAAATAAATTAAATAAAGACTTCTTTAAATCAACATTTTGTATGCAAGCTAGAATGTATTTTACTCGAGTTTAAAAATATGGAAAAACTATTTTTCATCTTTTATATTAAATTTATATTCACAATTACGAAATCAAATTTGAATTTTCGATCCAGTATCATCACAGTTTTTCTGCAATTCATTCATATTCTACTACTAAGAATTAAATTTCTGGTTCTGGTATTGTCTCGACGCGACAAGTATAGCGGGCAACATCATAATTATGCAGCAAATTTGTTTGGTATAGTTAAATTTGAATCGACCTTTCATCTGAATTGTAAAATTTCGAAGCAGTCTAAATTCTTTTTAGGTAAGTTAAATTTTTTCACTTAATTTTTATCTATTATATCCGAAAAATGTATCTGCTTTCATTTCATAACGTATGTATATATCTCCTAACATTGAATAGGTTACAATATAAGCTTACTTTGGCTAAAATCTTTATGTCATTGGAGCAGAGAAGGGCTGGTTCGAGCCCAGCTCTGTGCGGCAGTTTCTGGTCAGAATCGACGGGAAAGGACGGGCGGTTAAGCACAGCAGAATTGGAGCAGCGCGTTGCGCAAAATGCTGTGAATGTACAGACCGCAACAAGCTGTGAATGTTCTGCGATGTTAAGAATCGGCGACAGGCCTACGGCCTAATATACGCTGATACCGCGATTATTCCTCCGAACACACATCAGCTCTGACTCTGATTACAATTAATGGATGTACTTGCGTGACCATAGGACGTACCTACTGGTGACGCATCAATTCAATAACTTTAAAGCAATGCAAGATGTGTCTTCTAGGAAACCATTAAAGAAGGGAAAATTATGATACAATGTGAATTGAAATTTTAATTATACTAAAAGAAAATGAACAATGCACTCAATGCTAAACAGATAACTCTTGAAAGTAGGTCGACCAGTTCACAATAATCAAACATTTCAGAACCAGAGATTATGCACAAATAATCAATGCGGAGTATTTTAATATGTTAATGTTTGAAAAACAAGACGCTTAATGGCTTGAACTGAATATAAAAGTGATAATGCGAAATTTCTAATGAATTATTTTTAAATTGGGGAAATTTTACTAACCTACAATGCAAGTTGATTATCTAACCATTTTGATGACAATTTGGGAAATTCTGACTGTCAACATCTGCTATATGGAGCCCTGCTGCCAATTATTTATATGAACATATAGACGCCATATATAGCTTTGGTTCACTAGCGAAAGTTGTCAAGTCTTCTAAAAAAAATTATGAGTTGTCAGAGGTATGTACGAAAAGTTAATTTTTGAAGGATTTTAGAAGCAGATCTACCTATGCTCCAGAAGCTCCACTATCTAATGTCAGATATTCTCTAATATTAGCTTCTACTTTGTCGTCTGACATTAACATGAGAATTTCTCTACAGTCAATGCCACTAACTTCGCCACAACAATTATATCGCCGGCCTTCGAAAGAAACGATCGGCTTTCAGAAGAAACTATTTGTTGAGAAATCTGGGCTACAACTTTCTAGCGCGATCTAAAAATCTTTTTAGTTATCATGATGCAATTGAACCTTTAAAATTGTAATTCTGACCAGTATTATACGGTTTCTATGGATGAGCCGGTGAGGTAAGTGGAGTAGCTGCTGATTAACGACTAATGTGTCATTAGCGCAGGAGTCATTCGCGTCTAACTCAGTCACATTCACTGCAATTGACGGTAACTTGCCTCGATATTCTTCGAAAGCCACGGCTGTTAACCACCAACGATTCCATCAAAATTCTCATCCACTGACAAAATTACTCCTGTTTCATCTCTCACATCAGCAGCACCAGTAGAAACACAAAGTTTCTACTAGTGGGCAACCTCTCTAGCAGCGTCATTTTTTCGGCTCTGTCCACCTAAAGCGGCCAAGAGCGATACTGGTCCGGGCTCCACGTGTTCTGCCTGGGATTGGAAATGTTTTGGAGGTTGTTCGTAGTTCGCACTGTCAGGTGAGTACGAAAATAATGTCATTTAATAATGAAAAAGTTCGAGTCTAACGTACAATAACTAACACTTGAGTACGACAGGAACTGAAACACGTGAAATTTGTATAAAAAATGGACCAAGATTTTAATAGAAAGTGGACCAAGATTTTTTTATCCGAACATATTTGCGTTCAAAGGAGTAATTCTATGAATCATGGTGAACGAAAAAATGCACAGCCATTTTATTAACAAATAAAACCATTTAAGTTGGTGAAATTTAGATAATAATTACTTTGCTTTCTCAAAGAGTTGCATCAGAGCATTCGTAACGATTTGACAAAACAAAAACGTTTTTTTTTTTCAAATCGGCAGAGGTTTACAATCAGAAAATGATGAATTTCCCTAAAAATATAGCTCTTTCCAGCATACAATATTTTTAACGAGGTCTATGATTAAAAATTTTCTGGCATCTTTGCGTAATCACACAATAGAACTCAGATAAGGAAGTAAATGAAGCCAGCTAATTATTAAACATGATGGTATAAAAATAAAATTTCCGTCTTTTCAACCAACTCTGAAGGTCCCAATTATGTGCAAGTTTTCTGCAGACACCTCGGGGTGCGGGGGTTACAATTTCTTCATTGGTGATCTCGTATCCAAAGATGACGCGACTCCACTTGAAGGAAATGTAATAAAGATAGAGGGACTGTGCGCGTATTTAACATGATGCAAGCAGAAAAAGCATAGCAGGTGTCTAAAGCAAAAGTGGTCTCACTACGCTTTTCGAACTTTCATTTCGATACGCACGCAGTTTTGGCAATTATTAATCCCGTGCGCCCCCGAGTTTGGTCAGATAGATTGGCATTTTGCAATGTGGAAAGGAATATGGTGACAGCCTATGGATTAAAAACTAGCATGCAACCCCAAATGTCACATGCTAGGATGTATATTGTAATGTGGAATCGAATCATGAGGCAGATCATGAATTATAAAGAGAACGCTGACACAAGCCACTGACATTATAGAATTTAGAATGTTCATGCCGAGGTGCAAGTTCAGTTGAACAAACTCAGACTGTGTTCATTTGCGATCTGAAGTCATCAGTCACATTGTCAGCTTTGATGTCTTTGCAAGCATGGAGCATTTGTTCAACAGCCTCGCCGCTTCACCTGAACCAACGCTGAGCACGGTGGACATGCTCTTCTTATCAGATATACATACACGTGTGATGAAAAAAATTTGTTCGAACACACATTGAGGTTCTTTTAGCAAATAACTTCCCATGAAAAAATGAGAAAATTTAAGCAAAATTCGATCATCTTCACTTATATTTTCACTTTATTTTAGATATCTTCAATTTTTTTAACCTGAAAGATTAAATTTTCCAAAGAAACCGTCTTATCTAAATTCCAACAATATATTGTGGATCTAGATGCCATTAGCTGTGGTGACGGATAGTCTCTGACAGACAGCTGTAAGCACGCGATCGACAAATAAAACCAACTGTTTCAATAATATCATAAACCTATAAAGTCAGACCATGTATCGCACCGAGTCACAGGACTGCTAACAGCCTTTCGTTCACGACGCGTTTTGCCTAGAGCCTCTTACCGCTTCAGCCTTTACGACTACCACCAAGATGAAATCTGTCCGTCTTGTCCTTCTCATAGCAACCTTTGCCTACTCCGGTGTTGACGGGTAAGTGTACACAGCAGTTGCATTCGTGCACTGTGCTCTCCCCTTCTGTTTACTTTTATCCTAAATTATTGGATGATATTGCTTTGTGCTCTAATTTTGTACAGCCTCCACAAATCAATGCTGGAAAAGTTGCGAAAATGTTGCATTTAGAGTTATGGATATTACTTGTTTTCAGAACTAAAATGGAAAACTTTCATTTTACTTATGTTACTTACCTGGTGTACTTATTCGTGTTCCTTTCTCCGCCGTGTGCAAAATAGCTACCGCCCCAAAAGTGCGTGTGGGAAGGCCCTCTACTATAACTTGACCAGTAACTCCCAGGTTAAAGCCGTCAAAACCTGCGCCTCCGATCCACTGGCAGATGCCGCCGTGAAAGCCATCGCAAGTTAGATATCTCAAGATTTATTACTTTCAATTGATTGATCTGAATTTTTCTATTATTGCGCTAAGCATGGACAACTAATCTAATTGCTAATTTTTGTATCCAAAACTCAGTTCTCGACTTTTTCTTTTCAATTATTGGTGTTTTCTAGAGAAGTATCTTTAAATAGTGAGTGGAACCACCACAAATTCGTGAGAGATCTAAAACAATAAGTAACAGTTTACGATTTGTGCAGGTTACGGCTGTGCGAAGTACGCCTTCCAGGAAGGCCCTCTCAAGTGCGAAGTTGGTGCAGCTCCCTTCATGAAATGTTTAGCGGGAAAACTTGGTTACGTAAGTCAGGAAATATTGCCAAGGTGCCTTTTCATCATCTGTCATGAACTCCACTTTCAATATTAGCTGACACTATATTTTTGTTGTTGAACGTGGCAGCTCATAATGTAACCAACGCTATAATTAGTGCACCATCAGAGATATCTAATTCAAACAATTCCATAAGTTATTAAATTGTATTATGAATTTACTACGCTTGTAAATGTGAGTACAGAACTCATTCATTCATTTCTAGTTGAAGGCTGATGGGTCCATCGACAACATGAAGATCTTAGCCCAGTACAGGAGAGACGCCACCAGAGACCCTGCCTGCAACGCTGCTCGGTACAACTTCGCTGAGAATAAATGTGGCACTACCATTGACAACTATGCTGTAAGTTTTTATTGCCTTAGCAGGACTCGCTTTAATTTCATAGCAGGAAAATAAGTTGAGATTATTTTAAACCGAATTTAGATTTAATGTTAACTTAGAAGCCAAGTGATAATTTGATTTACGAGTAAGTGGAAACTTATGCAAATCATTCATAGGTTCCTGTGAAAATACGTGTCTAAATTTCAGACTATCCAGGAAGTTTCTTTGATTTGGTAATCCCTTTTTCTGATGCCCATGTGACATATGATTACCTATGAATCTGTGTCGCATATCATTCTACCTCTCCCTAATTTCTTGGAATAACGCTTTGTAAATTTTTCTACAATTATAGGCATTATTTTACTTATATCCAATACAACTGAAGCATCACTTCACGCCATGAACATTCTTGCTGATATAATGAACTATATTGCAAACAGTTCCTGGCGAAGATGGCATGCCTCGCTGCAGCGGCAGACCAGTACCTTGGGTGAACTGCTCCTTATTTTGTCATCTGATTGGAGGCTTCGAAGTGTTCACTATATAAAAGCTCTGAAACAACAGGTGCACAATAATAATTAGGGGACCACTTTCTCCAGTCAATGCATCCACGTGATGTAAAAATTGTCTAATTGGAAATTTGTCCGGTGTCAATTCACTTGACCTGATAGAGATTAATTTGTGAAACAGTAAATTCAATAAAATCCTGCATAAAATCATATATTAACAATTATTATTATATTTAAAAGTGAAACTGAAAGCCACCTGAAGACTAGTACAAAGCATTTCGCTTTGTTCCAATATATTTTGTGTCAAGAAATTTTATATTTGATGCACTTGAAATTAATAGAATTTGACATGTTCAATGTAATGTGGCTTAAATATAATTTTCAAATAAATAAGAATTTAACCAATCATTATATAAACTTAAATATAATCAGAAATTATCATGTCTTTAGCGTTCCTTGTACTTTAAAATTAGTGACTTGTTGCCTTTCGAACCTCTGCACTTGATTTTACCTCTTCTGACAACATTCAACAATGGGACTCTTGCAAAGCTTGGGCGAAACAATTTACAATACACAATGTGCATGAATGTTGTTTTTATTGGCCCTTTTGTTGTGGAAAAATGTTGGGTTGTCTGTTGCCCAAATCTCACCCTGTTGAACGCACATTCAAATCATGAAGAAATTTAAAAAAAAGTATTAAGTAAAGTACACATATAAACAGTAAACACAAAAGACCCAAGAAACCAATACGTAGCTATACATTTAAGTAGCAAAGATGCGATGCATTTAGTTTCTAGAGACACATCGATGTATTTAACTTGAAGTAAGTTTCAAGAATATGCATTTGGGGACGGAGAAATGTTAGTGAGACGTCTTAATGGCATATGGTTGAAATGATAACTGGAATGCAGGGAAGTACAGTGGTTGAACAGATGCCATATATTTATACGTCGAATACCAATTGTTTCTACAAGAAAACATGAAACACACAACATTACTTGTCAATTAGAGCAATTTTTGAATCGATAAATGGAATAATGTTGATCAATATGACTGTTACTGGGAAATGCTCGAGTGACATTACATCAATGCGATCATCCTAAGCGAAACTAAGTTGTTGAAAAATAACTTCAACAAGTTTGCATTGAGACATGAATATTTCTGCGATTTGATAAAAATATTTGCTAACATTCCTGAAGTTTACCAATGTTTCTTGCATCGCTTTGAATCAACCCGATTTGTGTTTGAGGCGATCGAAAGCTTTAGGGATCATTTGTCCCACAATCCTGGATAATAAAATGATTCATCCTCCGAAATCTGAAAAGCGGAATTTGAAAGTACGTTAATTTCGGAAAGTCTCTGCCATGTCATAAATTAGCTAAGGGGAATGTCGAAGCCCTAACATCTTTTCTTGTTGAACTTTTCAACCGCTGCCTCCACCACAATGTTGTTCCGAGAAACTTCAATTCAGCTTACATTACGCTTCTATTGAAAAACAGACCTTTACGCTTGTGCTCCCAAATAATATCGACCCATCTCCAACCTGTCGATTTTGACGAAACTCCTGAAACGCGTTGTGGTCCGGCAGCTGATCTTTAGCAATCCGTTCTTATGTATCACCTCCAGTCTGAATACCGTCATTTCCACCCGACGGAAACTGCCGTGCTGAAGAAAGTACTTTCAAACATTCTGCGAACAGTAGACCGTCGCGATATTGCGGCACTATATAGCTTTACTTGACCTGTCGGCCGCGTTTGACACGGTCGACCACGCCATTTAAATGCGTCGACTTGACGCCTGTGCGGCACAGTGCTGCGGTTGTTCGAGTGCTATCTCATCAATAGTTTTTAATGTGTTCGACATGGGAACTTTTCTACGGCATCGTTGGTCACTTGCGGCGTACCCCCAGGGATCGGTTCTCGGCCCGATCCTTTTCCTGTTTATTATATACTGTCGACGTATTGCACATAATTGATTCACATAGTTTGAATCCGCAAATATTCGCTGACGACACCAAAATTTATGGCTACTGTGCACCGGCTAGAGCTGCAGGACCGGATGTCTGTCTGCATGGTACGTCGTAGTCTCAGACTGCAACCGGCTACAGTTCAGTGCATCGAAAGCCGACTTTATTTGATTTGCGACACCAGCAAAGTCGACACCGGTTGGCCTCGGCACCAGCATCAGCTTCAGGCCAACCCTGTTCGCGAGGGCAACGAATTCGTAATGTCTGCGTCTTCGGTTCGAACTCTATGAACAATCACACAGCCAAAATCACCACCGCTTGTTTTGGCGCTCTGCAACGAATACGCAGCGTCAGCAGCTGCGTCTCTGGCCGGTCCTCAGCCACACGCTCTGTGGACTTCTATTATGATCCATCGTGGCCTGGGACTGCTACGTCCGAAACAATTACCAAGTTATGGTAAGGCCACACTCTATGGACTTCCGACCACGAAACTTAATAAACGGCAATCCGCAATGAACGCTGCTGCTCGACTCGTGTGCAATAAGCGAAAATTCGACAACGTGACCCCCATATTATGCGATCTTCAATGGCTGCGCATGAAGTAGCGCACGCATGCCCTTTAACGGTCTGGCTCCTCCCCATCTCGCGGAATGTCTGCAGCGCGTGTCGGATCTGCCTTCTAGAAGACAATTGCGTTCGTCATAAGCAGCAAACCTCGTCGTTCCATCTACACGTCTATATACTGTCGGCGACAGGGCGTTCCTGGTCGACGGCGCCAGAACCAAGAACAGACTGCCGACTTCCGTAACATCGGCTCTTTCGTTGCGGGTGTTTCGTCGACACTTAAAGACGGTACTATTGCGTAGAGCTTATCAATCAAGTGCTTAGTCATTTTTATCCGTTCTCATCCCTTTTCGAGTCTTTTTATTTTTTTGCTTGCTATTAAACTTATGTGTAACGTGCTCTAGAAGTTCGTTTGAACCAGATGCCACGATAACTGCTTTGTAGAATAATTTTATTAATAATAGGCTATGTAGTGACGTCTCAGTATTCGCAGTAATTTTACTTCTCGTGTGGTTTTCAAGCTGCTTAAATAATTTATTCGATCATCAAAAATTATTATAGATTATCTTAATCATTTGAAAGTTACAAAAATAGCATCTATAATGTAATGCATGAACGAATCTTACGTGGAAAAATTTCATTTTTGAGACTTATTTTCTGGTAGTATATCTTGCTCGTGGCGTGGGAGGTTTGCTTGGGAAGCTTGCTGTGGTAGTTTGTGCACTTCAACGCAAGCAAGACGAACAAATTTATTTGAACTTATACCTTCTGCGGGATCGGATCAATGTTGAAATTTGAAAGGTACTTACATCTTGTACCTATATTATACAACACATAAATTCACGTCACCAGTGTTATGAGAGCTGGCAACGATAAAAACTGCATTTACAAGCTGACGCTATGGTTTCGGCAAATTATTGGCATGCGACCACGATTATTGTAAATTCTCCTATCATTAGTCGCCTTAAATCGCAAGTTGACCAAGAATTTAACGCAAAGAAAGAAAACGTAACATGAATTCACCATACATTTTTTGATAACGTTTCGGCGACCAGCTCTATCATCCGTTTAAAAATAATATACGTTTAAAAATTACTTTTTAAAGGCAACACTCCTAAAGAATCCAGTGTCTCCAATGTTACAAATGTACAATGAATTTCTAATTTTATTTTCGCATATTAAAAAATTGATTTTTCAATTTTTGTTTGAATGTTAAATTTTTTTTCAATTATTTATTCTGTCAATTGATTCATGCATTGCCTCCGACTTCACACAAGTATGCAAAATTGCAGATCAATTGGACAGGTAGAAGTGTGTCAAATGTCAATTATAAGATTTGTAGCTGACAAAATTATTTTGTCAATTTTTCAAAATGATTTATTCTGTCAATTGATTCATGCATTGTCTCCAACTTTACGCCAGTGTGCAAAATTTCAGATCGATATAAGTAGAAGGGTGTTAAATTTTAATTATAAGATTTGTAGCAGACAAACGAACAAACAACAAGAAGTGAAGTTCAAGAGAATTCATATATAATAATGTTTGGCTGAACGTAACTGTACAATAGAAATTGAGGCCCTCATAATGAAATTTGAGTATGTTAATATTCTTAACGTATATTTTTCTTGTAATATTTCAGTTTTTACGATGGTTGAGAGATCAAAAAAAATACAAGTTGAATATAAAAAATTAAGCAACATTCAAGCAATGTATATATATAAGTAAAAATTACATTCAGCCGAGTCTAAAGTTAAAAATTTAATACTGTAATCTCTATGATCGCAACACCTATATATTTGGACTGTTAATGGTTTTCAACTTGAATAATGATGGCGGTTGATGAACGATGCTAGTCTCTCTTAATATGATTTTTACCCATTGACATGCTGCGTAATGAACCTTGAGTATATAATGTTTCGATAATGGCATGTGGCGTCATAACTTTAGTTGACACGTGTGTCAACGAACTATCTTGGCTCCTGTACACGATTGTTTTGCTATCAAATAGTTGAATTGCAATTAATCTTGCAGATAGTATGTTTTGTTGTGTTTATTTTAGCAACCACGAGTCACGTGTCGCAGCTATCAGTAAACCTGCTCATACAGTAGATATATAGCTCCGGTTTCTAACCTCTTCTTGAGAGCTGTGAATTCATTGCCATGGACTTACCATGAATAATTTTACCATTATTTCCTGATATGAATGAGCATTTCTTCAATTTATGGCGTTTTTTCTCCTGCATTTAGTATGCATAGTTTGTGTAATGCCGACGTTTCAATTAAACAAGAATCGTAAAAATTCTATTAAAATTCAGCAAGTTAAACTTTGACGGCGGTCCCTGCACTGTGTAGACTAGCTGTAGAGCATACAAAAAAATAACCAGCCTTTGTAAAAGGGGAGGTATTATATCAGGCTGATTTGATTACAAGCCATTGTCTTCAAACGCAATTTCCGTTATAGTGGAAAAATAGCCGCCGAGGTAAATACGAGTATTGTAGCGGAGTCAGGAGCTTGTTTTTGTCAGAACTGCTGCGCTTAAGCAGAATATATCGTCTAATAATGTCGTTTCTCGTTGTCATGAAAAAATATCACCTCTCACAGATTTCATATAGTACACTCATACGTACATGCTCATCGGTATTTACAGACTCTT